TAATTCCAAAGAAATCCTGCAAGTTTCTCTCTCTTATTATCACATTAATAAGTACTATATAATGATGGAATTGGTACAAACTTCAATGGATGGAGAGAGGACCAATTGGTCTCTTTTTATAGCATTTCGAATGCACATCTATCACACTAATTCATGAATTATCATACATTAACGCATAAGTGCTCCTTGCGACCTTCAGTTAAGTCATCTTACATGTAAACTCCATTTATTTGTAACCACACATAAGACGTCGACAATAAAGAATTCATTTTACTTCATTAACCCATTACATTTTAATTTCATTGGAAGTTATCTTCATAAATTGCATGATATATTTTTAAATTATCCAAAAATCCTTAATATGAACATAACATGCGCATTCTCATTAATGAATTCCTTAGTTAACTGGTCACAACATACATCATATGCTAGCTAAAAACTTATGCAAGTTGGCGGTCATATGTCATTTAATTTGACATAATTCCTTCCAAGTACCACTTCACTAATTTTTAACTTAACGTCATCAATAACTGAAGAACATTCATTATGGTACAACAGCAATGCATTTAAGATATTCCTGCTATAACTCATTCATGTATATCATAATTGAACGTGAAATATCATAAACACACAAGCGATCTATGTGTGTCAAAATACTCATAATGTTGTTTTTATCAACAATTACATTTAATATCCATTCGTTTAACACGTTCTTTATAAATATCTTTGGTGCCATCCTTTTTGCTAATGGGTCTACAATTTTAACTTTGGTACTTACATGTTTGATTGACACTTTCTGTTTCTAAAACTTGTTTAATGGCCAAGAATTTCTCCATATGTTTTGCACCATCAGAATACTTGTTCTTAGAGAAAAAAATAACTGCGGAGGATTGGCAATACTGTCCAATGGGGACATAAGTGCGATAATAAGCAAAAATAAGGGACCTTCATTGCAATTAAAATGCGTTGTAACAAACAAGAACTATGGTGTAAACATATTTACATGTGGTCTAAAGGAAAATTTTCTTCAAAATGACCAAGTCTGCAAGTCAGTTAAGGTTTGCTAAAAGAACCGATTTGAAAGTGTAATGGTCAAAGACCATAACCAATTAAATAGCGGCCAACTCAACAATTTCATTCACCCTAATTCGGCAGTTTTTGTGAAAAAAAAGGCCAACATAAATGTTTAATTGGAAATGGACTAGCAGGGTTCAAAATGCATTCTATTTGCTACAAGAATCGAGGTTTTGATCAATAACAAATTATCATCGTACAAATACTATTATCAAGTTGATTTTTGTAAAATTGATTGTGACTTATGATATAAAATCAAGCCTAAAACTATATGATACTAGAGAAAGCTTCATATTTTAATTATAATTACTTTGCATAACCATACTTTTATCACATTTCATCATCTGCTGGTTGAATCAATAGGCTGCATATATAGTTTGGGGCCCCAAATATTCACTGAAAAAGGGTTGGAAGCCCAGGTCCAAATATTTACTTGTAATAAATTCCTGAATTTATATGAGCGGAAAGAAGACGCGCGGTTGGAGCGCGTCATTGGAGAAACTGGCTGGTGGCCCAGAGTCCAAACCACCCTCCA